TTTCCTGAGGCAGAGTCTCACTCTGTCGCCCAGGCTGAAGTGCAATGGCGCCATCTCAGCTCACTACAACCTCCGCCTCCTGGATTCAAGCAATTCTCTTGCCTCAGCCTCCCAAGTAGCTGGAATTACAGGTGACTTCCACCCTGCCCAGCTAATTTTTTTGTATTGTTAGTAGAGACAGGGTTTCATCATGTTGGCCAGGCTGGTCTCGAACTCCTGACCTCAGGTAATCCGCCTGCCTTGGCTTCCCAAGGGATGGGATTCCCTGGGATTACAGGCATGAGCCACTGCGCCTGGCCATTATTTTATTTTTTAGAGACAGGTCTTGTTCTGTCACCCAGGCTGGAGTGTATGAGTCACTGCAGCCTCCAATTCATGGGCTCAAGTGATCCTCCTGTCCCAGCCTACTGAGTAGCTGGGACCACAGACACACACCACACCCCGTTAATTTTTAAATTTTCTGTAGAGACAGGGTCTTGCTGAAGCTGGTCTTGAACTCCTGGGCTCAAGCAATTCTCCTGTCTTGGCCTCCTAAAGTGCTGGATTACAGGCGTGAGCCACTGCTAGGGACCCAAGCCTTGTTCATTTCTGCCTCATGGTCTTTGCACCTGCTTTCCTTCTGCTTGTAATATAATATCCCTGATCTGCCTCCCCAACTTTCAGTCATTCTCTGTCATCTTTCTCTGTTTTGTTTATTTCAGAGTCCCTTTCACAATCTTTTTATTTTATTTTATTTTATTTTGAGATGGAGTCTTGCTCTGTCACCAGGCTGGAGTGCAGTAGTACAATCTTGGCTCACTGCAACCTCCATCTCCTGGGTTCAAGTAATTCTCCTGCCTCAGCTTCCCAAGTAGCTGGGACTACAGGTGCACGCTACCACGCCAGCTAATTTTTGTATTTTTAGTAGAGATGGGGTTTCACCACGTTGGCCAGGATGGTCTCAATCTCCTCACCTCATGATCTGCCCACCTCAGCCTCCCAAAGTGCTGGCATTACAGGTGTGAGCCAACATGCTCGGCTAATTTATTTATTTATTTATTTATTTATTTATTTATTTGAGACAGAGTCTTGCTGTGTCACTCAGGCTGGAGTACAGTGGTGGGATATCAGCTCACTGCAGCCTCTACCTGTCAGGCTCAAGCCTTGGCCTTCCGAGTAACTAGGACTACAGGTATACACAATGCCTAGCTAATTTATTTATTTATTTATTTTATTTTATTTATTTATTTATTTATTTTTTGAGACGGAGTTTCACTCATGTTACCCAGGCTGGAGTGCAATGGCATGATCTCGGCTCACCACAACCTCCGCCTCCTGGGTTCAGGCAATTCTCCTGCCTCAGCCTCCTGAGTAGCTGGGATTACAGGCACGCACCACCATGCCCAGCTAATTTTTTGTATTTTTAGTAGAGACGGGGTTTCACCATGTTGACCAGGATGGTCTCGATCTCTTGACCTCGTGATCCACCCGCCTCGGCCTCCCAAAGTGCTGGGATTACAGGCTTGAGCCACCGCGCCCGGCAGCTAATTTGTTGGTAGAGATGGGGTTTCACCATGTTGCCCAGACTGTTCTCCAACTCCTGGGCTCAAGCGATCCACCTGCCTCAGTCTCCCAAAGTGTTGGGATTACAGGCATGAGCCACCTCACGTCCTGGCCCTATCATTTTTTTGGCTCTATCTTTGCTCATCACGACCTCCGCCTCGTGGGTTCAAGTGATTCTCCTCCCTCAGCCTCCCAAATAGCTGGGATTACAGGTTGGTCTCGAACTCCTGACCTCGTGATCCTCCCACCTCAGTCTCCCAAAGTGCTGGGATTACAGACCTGAGCCACCGCGCCCAGCCTATAATTCTTTCCTCTGTTTACTTTCGGGGCCAGCATGGCTCCGACTGAGTTAGGGGTCTACCTTCCTCTCCCCTCTGCTCACCTTGACCAGGGCTGAGTGCAAGTAGATGTTGTGGGGCATGATGATGGCGCCAACAATGCCCACCGCCTGCAGCAGCTCGGGGTGGCCGCAGCCCGGGCACAAGGGCAGGAACAGACCCCGAAGAAGCGCTCCCTGAGCAGGACGCGCCACCACATACTGCAGGGAGAAGCCTGGTCAGGACAAGCCCCGCCCCTCGCAACCACGACGCGGCCACCGCTTCTCAGCCTCCATGCCCACCCCAGTCCCCCGCAGCTAGGGGGCAGAGGGAAGGGGAGAGAAATGATCTTGGGAGGCGCGCAGGGGGTTGAAGCACTGGCTTCCTACCTCATAGCCAAAGGTCAAGGCCATAATGGTTATAAGCAGTCCAAAAAAAGCCTCCAGCTTCCGCAACCCTACAGGGCAGAACAAACAAACCAAACAAACTAAAGAAAAACATCTGTAACATTAACAATTCGTAATGGCTAATACTACCAGCGCTTCCAGGCACAGTGCCAAGCGCTTAACATACGTGACCTAACTCAGTCTTTACGATCACCCTCTGATGTCTGTGCTATTACTTCCCCATGCTACAGGTGAAGAAAGAGATGTTCACGTAACTTTCCAGAGGCCACCCAGCGAGGGTGAGGGGTCTCAGGTGCGCCCCCAGGCAGCCCGATGTCAGAGCCCTTCTCCCAGTCCAGCACCGTCACCACCACCACTCCCCTCTGAGGTGGGGTGTGCACCCACCATAGTTATCGAGGAAGAGGAAGAAGAAGGTGTCCACGATGGTGATGAGGACGCCACCCCAGAGCGGGATTCTGAAACCAGAGTGGCCAGGGTCAGCCCAGCCTGGTCCAGGAGTCACTAACTCCTAGGTAGCCTCAGGGCTGGAGACAGGAATCTGGCCTCCTGGGAGCAGGACCCCAAGCGCCCCCAGACAGCTAGGGCAAGGGGACTGGGAGTGTGGCATAGAACACTCGAGGCAGGGCATAGCTAGAGCTCTCCTAGCCTAGCATCCGGTGTGGCAGGGAGTTTGGGGCTGCAGTCCCAAAGTCCTGCATGACTCATATCTGCATGACTTTAGACAAATCACTTTACATTTCTGGAAAACAGAGCAGCAGCCCTATGTCAGAGGGGACAGCAGGATAACATAGACTCGGGGAGGGACAAGGCGGGCGGTGGGGGAAGTAGCAGCAGCTGTTCCTGGCCTCTGCCTGAAGGGCTGGGTCACACTGGGGTGGTACCGTCCAGCTGAGAGCAGATTGAATGCAATGGCTGTGCCGATGACTTCCTGCATGTCGGAGCCCACAATGGCTAGCTCGATGGTCAGCCAGAGGAGGGTACGGGGCACCTATGGGGAGGAGATCATCCTTCATCAAGGGTGGGCGGGTTATTTGTCTGTGGTCTCAGCCCTATGTGCATCTCTCCGTACTCCTTGTGCTGCTGGGCCAGAAGCCTGCAAACTACATTTACAAGACAGTCTTGCCAACTGGCTTCCATTTTCGTTATGTAGGAAGAGCTTACAGGAGATGGAAAGGCAGAGAGAAACCTTTTTGGTGGTGGTGCTGGTGGTGTTGTGACACTCACAACAGCCAAGTCCCCAGGGTTGTGAGTATTTTTTTTGGTTGTTTTTTTTTTTTGAGATGGAGTCTTGCTCTGTCACCCAGGCTGGAGTGCAGTGGCTCGATCTCTGCTCACTGCAAACTTCACCTCCCGGGTTCAAGCAATTCTCCTGCCTCAGCCTCCCAAGTTGCCGGGACTACAGGGGCATGCTGCCACGCCCGTCTAATTTTTTTGTATTTTAGTAGAGACAAGGTTTCACCGTGTTGCCCAGGCTGGTCGCAAACTCCGGAGCTCAGGCAATCTGCCCGCCCCGGCCTCCCAAAGTGCTGGGATTACAGGCGTGAGCCACTCCGCCTGCCTGGCTGAGATAAGCGATTTTTCCCCCTGATTCTGATGGTATTTCTAGCTGTGCTCTGGTAGCACTAGCGGCCATTTCATCGGCATCAGTAATGCTTCCAGGAGCTCAGCAGCAAAGGATGACTCGGGCTTGTGCCAGGAACGCAGCAGGTTTTCTGATCTTTGGGTGACACCCTCCCCCGTTGCTCCTCCAGCCCCCCCAAACCTTTCAATCCCTGCATTCAATACCTTTGAAATATCTAGTGATATAATTTCTGTTTTCCTAACTGGACACTCACAACAGGGTCCATCCCAGCCAATGACCATTCCTGAGCTGATGCCTCCCTGTTTTTTGTCTTGGACACATCACATTCCCAAATTTGAATTACCCCTTCTGTAAAATGACATGCCTCTTATGTCCCTCTAGGCTGTGTGCTGTGAGTTTGAGCCTCAGTCTTTTCATCTATCAAATGGAATTGGGGTTGGGCACGGTAGCTCATGCCTGTAATCCCAGCACTTTGGGAGACTGAGGTAGATGGATCATCTGAGGTCAGGAGTTCAAGACCAGCCTGGCCAACATGGTGAAACCCCCTCTCTACTAAAAATACAAAAATTAGCCGGGCACGGTAGTGGGCACAGGTAATCTCAGATACTTGAGAGGCTGAGGCAGGAGAATCGCTTGAATTTGGGAGGTGGAGGTTACAGTGAGATGAGATCTAGCCACTGTACTCCAGACTGGGCAACTGAACGAGATTCTGACTGAAAAAAAAAAACAAAAAAAACTACATACACATTGAAAAAAACAGATGGACTTGGGATGCCCGTGTGAGATGAAGTATTTATTTGATCGTGGAAGCTGAAAATGGCTGTTTGGGGTTTGGGGCCAGTGGTCCTCCCTGTCCAGGTCCCACAAGCTCACCTTAGGGTAGTAGAGATGGCAGACCTCGCCCAAGTCCTTGCCTGTCACCACGCCCAGACGGGCAGCCAGTCGCTGGCAGAGCAGGCCCAACACTGTGGCCCAGAGCAGCACCCAGAGAAGCTGTGAGGAGGCAGGGAGAGGCCTTCAGCCAGAGAGGCCAGCCTCAGAAAGCCCCTGAGCTGGTGGTACCCTCTAACCAAGGACATTCCTTGGGGAGAGGGTGGGAGAAATGGAGGCCCATCCTGGCTGGGCGCTGGTAGCTAACGCCTGTAACCCCAGCACTTTGGGAGGCCGAGGCAGGCGGATCATTTGAGGTCAGGAGTTTGAGACCAGCCTGGCCCACATAGTGAAACCCTGCCTCTACTAAAATCACAAAAAGTAGCCGGGCGTGGTGGTGTGTGCCTGTAGTCCCAGTTACTCAGGAGGTTGAGGCAGGAGAATCGCTCGATCCCGGGAGGCAGAGATTGCAGTGAGCCAAGATCTCTCCACTGCACTCCAGCCTGGGCAATAGAGAGAGACTCTGTCTCAAAAAATAAAATCAATCAATGATTTTTTTTTTTAAAGAGAGATCCAATCCCCCACCCCTCACAGACGCCCCACCTTCTGGCAGGGCTACCCTGGTAACCCTTTTCGGGCCCATTTGAACTTAACGCTAGCTCCCAGGCCACACTGGAGACACATGGCCAGCAGGGGCCTCCAACACTTAGCCTGGTCACCTCCCTCTTGAAGGTGTCCCCGCTCAGGTCCCAACTCAGTTACTTTGAATCCAGCCACGGCGCCAGCCTGAAGATCCGACTCGATGTTTCCTGGGTCCAGGAAAGCAATGCTCATGAGGAAGCCGGGCCCCGTGAAGGCCCACAGCTTCCGCAGACTGAAGGTGCCCTGTGGGGGAGGGGGGTGGAATAGAGTGAGGGGGTCCTGGGTATAGGGATGGTGGCACCTGGCTTTGGTCATCCCCAAGAGGACGCCCAATAGGCTCATCAGCCCAGCCCTCCCCTCCATGGCCCGTTCCTGGGTCTGCCACCCAGGGGTTGGGGAGGACACGGGTGGCGGAAGCAGCAGGCTCTGATGAGTCATGGAGGAGCTGCTTTCTGGATCCGTTAAGCTCAGCAGCCAACTTGCACCTGAACTGCCTGCCCCTCTCAAGCCCTGACTTGTCAGGGCCTCAGAGCCCCCACAGGAGCCTGTCTAGGGAGGTAAAGGGACCAAACCTCCCCGGCCCAGCTCCTTCCTCCCCAACTCCTTTTCCCACCACAGGGCCTCCTCTCTGTGGTCTGCTGAGACTATGGTTCCCCCACCCTGTTCCAGGGCATGGCCTGTCGACTTAGAAATCTGCTAAAGAGCCAGGCACGGTGGGAGGCAGAGGCGGGCATATCACGAAGTCAGGAGTTTGAGACCAGCCTTGCCAACATAATGAAACCCTGTCTCTACCAAAAACAAAAACTTAGCTGGGAGTGGTGGTGGGCGCCTGTAATCCCAGCTACTTGGGAGGCTGAGGCAAG